CTTTTGGCATTTAGTCATACCGGCCACATGACCACGGAGATGTCTTTGGACAGTGCGGGCTCTTCAGCTTTGAAACAGAGATGAGTACCGCCCTCTAGAGTTAGAAACGACTAGCACACATGTACGAGGGGAACCTTTACCTTTTACCTTATAGATACATACATTTTGCAGACTTGCTTTTTGATGCTTAATCCAACGGCATAACTTAAGATCTTTTTTACTTTCAGGTTGAAGCAACTTATTTGCTCCTCTTCAATCTTGAGGCCACAGTACAAGTGCTCTGAGAACAGCTTTTTTTGTATGTGGGAGGCTAACAGGACAGTTTTGGAAGCCCTCAAGGATAGAGCAGTTATCCAGGAGACATGCCCTTGCAACTCCAAGAGTAGGTGGACTATTGCAAGCCTTGTGAAAAATGGAACTTTTCCCCTTGTTCTTTTCTGGCTTATAGAACTATCTGTGTCCTGTCAGAAAATTAGTATCAGTGACAACGATGCAATATGCTATCAGCCCCTGTGATGCATATCCATGCAGCAGAATGAAATGGTAAAGCTGGCTATAGAAAGAAAAGCCAATTGAGAAATATTCAAAGCAGGAGCAGTGCAAACATCTCCCCCCTTTATTAGCTTGCATTTTACAGTTTCAGCTTTAAACAATGTTCTCCAACTTGGTGTTTTCCATTGGCCATTATGACTCAGAGTGATGGGAGGGCAACAGGTAGAAGAAGGCTATTAAAGAGGAAAGAAAATGAAAGAAAATATTTCCTTATTTTTCAGGCGAAATAACTGTCGACATAAAGTGGCTGGCAGCTGTATTTTATACAGCTTTAAATAGCTACACCCAACAACGTTTATCCTATACAAGGGCTCTGGTATTGCTCAATCAAATATGTTTTTGTGAAGACAATGCCACCACCTCATCTCCATTTCTAGTTTGTGAACATTTTACCAACCCAGCCTTTGCTTCCACCTTGGCTGCTGCTGAGTAAGTAAAATCCAGTAGAAAATTGTTTTGCTTAATCTTGTTTTATCCAACATTTTAAAAATTGATAATGCATCATTTGTGGATTTGATGATTAATTAGTGGCTTAGTTTTTTAAAAGAAATGAGTAACACCCTTAAAAAGTCACAAAGTGCAGGAATCTCTGTCCTCACAAGCTCAAATCCCCAGTAAGACATCAGGTTCCAAAAGTATAAGAGAATGGTGCTATACATGCTGGCTCCTTCCTTCCTGTACCTCAGTTTGAGATCTATCAGTGCATAATACCTAATCTCTTGGGTATATACAATTTGAGTCCTTGCACAATTCAACCTGCATTTTTCATAATTTGTCCCATGTCCTGTTTCAGACTGGGCTGCTTCTAAAGTCATGTGGAGGCTACTGAAAACACAATTTGCATTTGTAGCAATTTTGTCATAAATTGAAGGCATTTCTCTTATGAGTAATCCTGAAGGTAAAAATGATTTTATGTACATTTTGTGATGTAAATATGTTCAGACCATCACAGAGGCACTGTATACAGGTAGTCCTTGATTTACAACTGGTTGCTTAGCAATTGTTCGAAGTTACAACCTACGTGGTAAAAGGCAGTCACAACCCATTTTAAAGTTCCGATGGTTACTCCCTCACCTATGGCCACATAATTGCACTTTGGGCATTTTGGTGGCCATTATGGCAATCTTGGGCTTATGCTACATCATCACTGATCTACAAGGCTGGCCATCCGCCACATCTGGTCTTTATCTTGGAGAAAATAGAATATGATCTAGTTCTGGGGAAATATTTCTTGCAGTCTTTTTGTCAAGGGCAGCTCACTTTCTTGTGAGAATAGGATTAACTGAAGCTACTTACATCTGCAGAGAAGAAGGGTCAATTAAGATGCTCTTCTACCCCAAGTACCTGATGGGTCTCAAGGGTTTTTGAATAGTGATTGGAGATTTTCCTATCTTCCCATTGTGTAGAGTGCCTTGTTAATCTCTAGAACACAGAGGCAACCATTGCAAGATCATTCCCTCAATAATAACAAACAAATAACAACTAAATGAATACAACCCTGAATAATAACAAACAAATAACAACTAAAAATATAACAAAACAACTCATGAATATTTTAAAAATAAAAAAGTGATGGCCCAATCTAGTTAAAATATCTTTAAGAAAAGTTCTGTCTTTAACATCTTTCTGAATGCCATCAGAAAAGGGACCAACTCAGAGTTCCCAAACTTTTTTAGTTCCTGGTACCTTTACTGGTTTTTTCAGTGACCCTAGACCAGAACTCTGAACTAACAGCTAATATTTTACAGTGACAGATACAAAGTATTGCTGTGCTTTCCTTGAAAATTTAAAAGCCCCCAGGGCAGCACATGCATATTTTGGGAGCTGCGGGGTTGGTGTTATCTCCACATGAAGGTTTTTCAGGGAACTATATACCTATTGGCTTCAGTTCCCTTTCCTCCCCAAAATAGGGTACTGGGAGTATAGTTCTGTCTAGAAGACCTGTTTGGAGTAAGTGATAAATTGCATACATACAAAAAGAAACTATGATAGATGCCTGAAGAACCTTTAGAGACTGGAGCTTAATCATTAAATATACTTCCCATTTCCATTCCTTTACCTCTGCAGTGACAAAACAGTTATCGTATAACTTGAGGACCTATACATAACAGACTTTTCTCTTCTAGTTCCTTCCCCTGGTTTGATATAACAACTGTACAGCTAAAAGACTCACCTCTTAGCCAGCTTCTTGAAACAAATACATCTCTTCAAGAAACCATTGCTTCATGTTACTTTAACATGCTAACAGCATTGGCCATGAAAAATAAAGATTTGACGACGTCTATGACTAAAAAGACACCTCTATCTGCAGTGCTGCTGAAACCCACTAAATCACTGATTTTTCAAATTGATGAAATTTCCGCAAAGAAAACAGAAGAGGCATCTAGTACTGATTCTGAAGACTTATAAATTATCCAGCTGTTAGAAGTGAGGGGGGGATTTCTCTCCGTTTTAGCATTAAAAGAACTTTGGGAGTACTGTCTACAATGGTGTTATAGGACTTCAAATGGTAAATATTAATTAAAGCCAATTGAAAATTAAATTTTGCAGTGAAAAATTAGGCATAAATGCAAAATTGAAGGAAATTTTTTTTTAAAGGTCACATGATTTATCCCCCTTTCTATCACACATGTCAATGTTGCATTCACATGAATACAATATACAGTAATATGTTTCACTGTCATTTTGTGCACAAATTCCACTATGTCATACCCTATCATATATGGCTTTTTAATTGAAGCTTGTGTTTTATTGTATCTTTTAGATCTGAAATTGTTACCCCCGTGGCATTCATAAATCTACTTTTCAGATATAAATTATGTTCTAAATACTGTATTTATAAGTTTGGTTGTTTGATTTTTCACGTTGCTTCGCCTTTGCATTTATTTAAAACTTAAGAACATTAACAAATATAATTGGCTTAACTAAACATTGTTGCACTTTTGATCATTATAATGATCATTTGTTCCAGTTTAGAATAAGAAGATTAAACCTGCAGTGAAATTAATGGATGTACTTCTAAAGAAATGAAAGTTCTAAATCACATTGCTTATAAATTAGCAAATTTTAGTGGTAAAATTTCTTAATTTTATATGGCACTGGAACATTTTAAGAAGCACTGCGTGACTTTAGTGTTTTTGTAAGGGATGCTGTCAAATGATCTTAAATATTTAAAGCAACTCATTAATGTATGGCAGCTGTCTTGAAGCCCCATATATTCTTATAAGAGTCCTCACAGGACATCATAAATGCCAGTAAGAACAATCCTCTGCATTCACATATAACTTTATTTTGCATTATGTATGTGCAAAAATTTCTGTTTTGCATCCATCAGTAAGCACTTTCTCTAGATACCAAGTTTAGGATTAGGATACTGGTTAAACACCATCCATATACAATTTTGTTCCCTGTGAAAACTGATATAGAAATGCAGAAATATTTACAATATAATATCTGAAATATGTGAACAATAAACACTTTATATTATTTTGAGAAAAATGAACTTGTTTGTTGTAGTTCTTCATATGGTGTAATTGATTCAACTTCATATGATGGAGTTGAAGGCTGCATTTCTTCATATGGTGGGGTTGGAAGCGTTGGTTCATAATCTTGTAACCTTGCTTCTTGAACAAACTGAGAATAACTAAGAGCATCACTGCGCTTTCCAGTTCGAGACTTTTGTTCTAAGAACAACCCCATATTATCTCGAGGCGGGAGAGAGATACTTCTTTCAAAACGGGGCTCCTCAATTTGCAGCAATTCTCGTACATGCATTGAAATTTCCTGCAAAGAAAAAAGAGGGGGGGAAATCTAGAAAACAATCACTATGTTCATTTTTCTAAACCTACACAATTGTCATTTTAGTACCCAGTAGGAGGTGGCTGGCATATAATGGACAGTAATCCAGTGCAGTATACACTATCATATAAATGCACCGCTGTTATGTGTAGTTTTAGTTCTTAATCTTTTATATACCGAAAGGCTTAAAATGGGTTTTGCCACAATAAAGAAACATGGTCACACAAATCCATTTCATTCTTAACATTCACAAGTTAAACATCTACAGAGAAAGTCAGTACAAAACCACAAAATTAATAAAAAGTAAAATCATCAATAGTCAACAGCATCATGGTAACATCCTATCTGTGTGAACAAAAAGTATAATTAATGATTAAGCTCCAGTCTCTAAAGGTTCTTCAGGCATCTAT